TTTCTGGCGGCTGAATCTTCTGCGCCAAGTGGGCGCTACCCCAAGCAATGGAATCTTCCGGAGTGGGAAAGGGTGCTGGCACGCCCAGATGTCGAGTGGGTCGACCTCCCGATGTGCGCCTTTGGCCTAGGACCACCGGACGAGCCTGATGCCTTCTATGTTCACAAGACTCGGGTCGTCTTTCCTAAGCACCCGCCGCTTCGTCATGCTCTTCAACGTCGGTGTTTCGGGGTTGGACCGCGCCATCGCCACGTTCCTCTCAAGGGATGCCGGGAAGGGACTACGGTGACTCGGTGCACGGAGGCGGGGGCCTATGCCGCGGACTTCGTCTCCACGGTGGTCGCGGTGCTTCAGGCTACGCTATTCGTGGGGGGGTCTTGGTTTTCCACCACAAGTTCGCCTGGCCCTTGTCATGCAGGAGGAGACCAAGGACTCCTGACAGCTTGATTCCGACCCTGGTGAAGCAGCTAAAGCAGGGGGCTCCCAACGATCGCTGGAGCAGAGTGGAGAGGAACACCATGGCAGCTACTACCACAGTCCCAATCCAGAGGCCAAGGAAGCAGCAAGGAAACTATGTCAACCAGATCCAGGAGGGTGGCTTTGGTGGGACGCGAGAGGACTGGGTGAAGGTCGTCCAACTCGGCAACGATTTGTTGAGCAAAGCGCAAGGAGTAGAGGGTGCAGCCTGCAGTCTTTGGGAGGTCCGGGAGGAGGCGGGCCTGGGGTTGGATAGCCGGGAACTTGACGGAAGACTTCATCCAGACTTGCTGGACTACGCTCGAGATGTTCGACGACGGGGCATGGCTGCGCGCTATGTTGGCCCACGGCATCGAGTCCCTTCTCGTCTCCACCCTAATGCCCGACGGAATGTGGCTCAGGTGTTCAAGCAGATTGGGAAGGATGTGGCCAAGCACCGGGTGCTGGTTGTGAGCTCGGACCACGATTGCTTAAAGAGTGCCATCTCTTCACCGTTCGAGGCCGTGGACAAAATGTGCCCTGACCATTCCATTAGTGAAGAGAAGAGAATTGCCCACGATCAGCGGGGAGTGAACCAAGGCACCACCAAGTTCTTGCACCCCCCAGCCATCCAGCCGGCGCACGTGCAAATTGCACGAAGGATTCTGTGGCGCAAGATCAGATGCCCAAACCTCCCTGTGGTGATGAGCAAGAAGGACATCGCTGGGGCTTTCAGGTTGTTGTGGGTGGCGCCTGGGGACGTGGAGCTCTTCGGCGGGGACATTCCATGGGAGGGCGACGAGTTGCAGGAGGGTTTGCCGGCGGAGGGCGAGGAGCAGTGTAGCCGGGGCATCACTGTGCTATACCTTGTGTCTTCCTTCGGCTTCTCAGGGTCACCCGGAGAATGGACCATCTTTGGCCGAGCCACCGAGGAGTACCATCGGGCCCACAAACCCAGCAATCCCCGTCGAGATCTCGCAATCGGTTTTGATGCAAAGGTGCTTGCATCCTTGTGGAACCCTATGTCGGCTTGCGGCCCTGGGTGAGCGCGGAGGTCTTTGAGCACGGGGTTCGGACCATGTTGTGCCACGCGGCGATCAACGTCGAGAAGGACCGCATCGAGGGCGCGTTCAGGACTTCGCAGACGGTGTGGGGGCTGGTCATGGACACGGAGACGAAAAGGGTCCACCTCCCGGAGAAGCGCATTCAGAAAGGAGCGGACCTTTTGGCTGATGGTGCCTTCGATTACACTCCAGTTGAAGCAGCTACAGAGGTTCAGGGGGATCATGATGGGCTGGGCGTCAGTGCTCAAAGGCCTGAACAATGAGTTGAAGGCCGCCGACAAGTTCCTCGGGGGCATGGACGGAACCGCCAGGGTACAACCTCGTCTACGTGGTGAAGGCAGCCGTGGCTGGGAGACTGAGAATGCCTGGACCGACCTCTGAAAGCTCTTTGAGGTGTGCCGTTGGCTGAGCAGCAACTCGGAGCAGTGGGAGGAGCTCTTCAGTTCTGACCTCAGGACCATGCTTCCTCCTATGGAGCGGGTGGGCTTGCCTGGGGAGTGCCGGGTTGTGGTCATCTCCTCTGATGCGACTCCTTCGAAGCTGGGGGCTATTGACTGGACGCATCGCTTCGTGTTCAGGGAAGACGCAGAGATAGTGAAGGCATGGGTCACCCGGGTCACCGACCAGGAGTTGCTTGGAGGAGAATGGCGAGGGCTTGGTCATCCATGCGGGGGAAATGTTGTCCTTCATTGCGTTCGCGTGTGAAGTTGGGGCCCAGTGGGTGGGAGCTGTGGTGCTCTATGCTGGGGACAACGTGATTGTGAAGCACTGGCTCCAGAGCAGGCAGAGTGGAGTGCGAGCGGGACGACTGTTGGTGAGGCTCGCCAATTTGGTTGAGATGAGGCACAATTGCACCATCATCGCGGGCTGGTGGAGGACCTACCACAACGTCGACTCCGACTTCATCACGCGGTGCACGGACGAGGAGTTCCGGGAGTATGTCGCGGAGAAGCAGCTGAAGGTCGTGGATGTCGGAGAGGCCGTTCGACAAGCCTTGGAGGACTCGGAGCGTTTTGGCCCGTGCTTCCTCTCGTGGGCCTCTGAGGTGGATCGGAAAAGCATGATGCAGCTGAAGGAGAAACGGATGTTCCGACAGCTTCAGAAGGAGGTCCGGATTCCATGGGCGTGCTACGAGGTGGAGGAGTGGCATCATGGGCTGCGCAAGGCGAAGGACTTTGAGCTGGTCAGCCAGGAGCTTGGGGCGCAGCGGTTTCAGGAAGGGAGTCGCCAGTTGCGGCTCTTGTGCGCCAGCATTGGCCCTGACCCACATGACAAACGTGTGGAAGCCTTCCTCAATGCTGCAAACCGAGCGGAAGCACCGGTCGCCTTAATGAAGGCACGCTGCTTGGGAGAAGGGTGAACGCCGATGCCAACGGGAAGGGTGGCGCTATGGGCTCATCGACTTTGTCACCACCAAGTTTGGCGAGGCTATGGCGAGGAGGCGCAGGGCACTGGTGGTGCAGCTCGTGGGGGAGAAGGTTGACTGGGACATGGCTGTGAGGCACCCGTTCCGGCTGGGACAATGCTTCGAGCGGCAGCTTGGGAGGACACAAGTCGCTGGGTCAAGCCCTATAAGATGGAGCTGCAAGGAGGTCAGCCTCGCGATCCCATGCTTCCCCAAGGAGTCGGACACTATTGGATGCCAACTCGTGTCGTGCTGTTTGGACTGGGTGGCCCCGCGCGGTGGCCGCTGTTTGATGAAGAGAAAGGGGCCATGGAAGATGTCTATGTGTATGATCGCAAAGGCCCCCCTGGCTACCTCAGGAAGCTCACCAACCAGGAGGTGTGGATCCTTCAGGGACATGTGGGTTCGCAAGCAACCAGTGAGGAAGAGAACCGCTTCAGGACATGGACCTTGGAGGGGACGAAGGCGACTGGGGTTAAGACCGCCACCAGCCTGCTGACCGTAGGGGGCTACATCCTCTTCACCATCGACCAGCTGGGGGCCAAGGGGATGTGTCGGGATGTCCAACTACCGAAGCTATGGCCCAACTACTGGTGTCGGTGGAAGCGGGGAGAGCTCCGAAGGGCAGGTGGCCAATCGGTGCGACACATCATTCGCTGGGTTGAGAGCTGGTGGCTCAACATGCTGGACATCGAGTCGGAGGAGGACCTCGAGGCGGAGGAGGGGCTACAGTACGCCGGAGGACGTCCACGCAAAGGAGCCACACAGACCATTGGGGAGGCCAGCGTGGCACCCCTGCTGCGCCAACCTCGTCCCTTTGACGGCCAAGTCGGGTGGAAGAATGGATTGAAGAAAGCATGGAAGGTGCAAAGGCCACAAGCACCGAAAGAGCCTATGCGGGTTCGTGGGAGAAGTGGAAGGCCTGGGTTCGGCGCCATGGATGGGAGTCGGAGTATCTCAGCCGCAAAGGCGACCCGGTGGAGAACGAGAACCGGCTGCTGGGATTCATCGGCTACCTTGGGTGGCTTGGGGCGTCAGCAGCCACGCTCAAGCAGGCCATCTTTGCGGTGAAGGATGGTCACAAGCGTGCAGGAGCAGGTGACCCAACTGAAGGGATGTGCCGCTTGTGGATCTTGGTGCGGGCCATGGACCGTCGGATGGCGCACAAGCCTCGTCGCCTTGGAGTGACGCCTCAAATGCTAGTATGGCGGGTAACCACCTGGTCGACCCCTTGACGCCGGAGTGTCCAGCTTTTGTGGATGCCACCATGATCCAGGCTTCCATGACCACGGCGTGGTTCTATATGCTGCGAGCGAAGGAGTACTGTGACAGCAATGGCGTCGACGAGGACATGGTGCTAAGGGGTGTCGACTTGCGCTTCACCAAGGACGCGATTGGGGTCGAGGACGACACCGCGAATGAGGTCACGATGCAGTTCCGCAAGACCAAGACGGATCAGCTGTGCTTCGGTGAGAGCAAAACTTTGAAGAGCACAGGGGTCCATGTTCTATGCCCAGTGGAAGCACTGCTACGCATGAAGAAGGCTTGGCCCACGCGGTTCATCAAGACCCATGGTGATGCTTTGAAGCCGCTTTTTAGGTGGGCCAATGGCAATGTCTTGAAGAGGACGGAGGTGCAATCGCTCCTACAACAGGCAGCGCGTGGGGTTGGCCTACCACCAGAACGCTTCATGAGCCACAGCTTGCGCATCGGTGGCGCCACGGCCCTCTTTCAGAGCACTGGAGAGATTGAATTGGTGAAGTGCCAGGGCCGGTGGTCGAGCAGTGCCGTCCAGAGGTACTTGCACGACGGAGGTGAACAATTGGCAAGAGTGTCGGTCAAGATGGCCGGTTCCGGGAATGCCACCAACTACGCACGAGTGAGGGCGGGCTGAGGCACAAGATGCCACACCTTCACGGCCATTTTGGCTATGATCAAAAGATCTGAAGGTTCGCTTGTCCAACTTTGAGTGCGCATTGCCGCCGAGATGAAAGTCTGCCGCTGCATGTGCATAGGAAGCACTTAAGTTGGATGTTAGTCCTAACGTAGACTTCTGTGTGTCCGCCGCACAGCTGGGGCACAAGGGTCTCACCTTTTGGAAGCCCACCCCCTGCCTCCCAGGGCGGGCTGAGGCACAAGATGCCACACCTTCACGGCCATATTGGCTATGATCAAAAGATCTGAAGGTTCGCTTGTCCAACTTTGAGTGCGCGTTGCCGCCGAGATGAAAGTCTGCCGCTGCATGTGCATAGGAAGCACTTAAGTGTCAGTTTGACTAGGCCTGCTGAACCCTAGGTTTGTCATACTTTGAGTACAGGCCTCAGCTGGCTTGGGAAAAAGCTTCTGAATTAGACAGATGCTTTCTTATTGCAATGCCGCAAACCCCAGAACTGTAGCTCAGAGCCCCAACAACACCACAATCGCAATAATGTTCATCTCATCAAGTTGTAGTTTATGTCCAGGGTCTACCTATTTGCTTTCAGACGTCTTTGCTTTGTATCATGTGCTGTGTACCATTTGGTGTGTTGCATGTGCGTTCTCGAGCTAGGTTCCCATGATATAGTAAGCTTCTCTATTCTTTTCCTTTTGGCGGCCAACGTCGAAGGCCTGACCGGAGACTCCATCCGACGTCTGAAGCTACAAAGTCTTGGAATTTGACAAGATACTTTCAAATTTCAATAATTAATCTATATAGATGCCAAGGAGAGCGCAGGTACACATTAGATCGCGTCGCAAGGCTCCGAGCGCATTGAGGAAAAGGAGTGCATAATTTTTCACGGTAGCGGAGCTCTGGTGGTAGCCCCGCCAACTCCAAGAGCCCCTTTTTGGTTCACGAAACCCCGGGGAATTGAGGCAGGCCAGCGCGTGGCTGGAGTGACGGATGGGCTGGAGGCACCTGAGCCTGAGGCTCTTGCAAATGCTGCTGGTGCTATGGCAGGTGGAGCTGCCACAGGTGTTCAAGGATTTGTGCAAGCCCTTCACGGAGGTCCAACGGTCGTCTGGGTTAACGAAACACCTCAAGCCACCTACGGTGTTCCAACCAGAGAACCGTGGAGAAGAGCTAGGTCGTTGGATGGATTGGCGGTTTCAGTTCGAAACTTTTGTTGGAGCTGTTGATCCTGGGATGCTCGCCCACGTGAAGAATGCCGAGAAGGAGGAAAACCCCATCATTGATGGTTTGCCCCAGGCGAGGTCCCAGAGTGAACGCCTGTACTCATTGTTGACAGGGTTGATGA